CACAATTGTAGCATGTTCTTGGCCTGGCATCTAAAGCCTGTTTTACTGCAGCTGCCACAATTTGCCCTTGTTCATTTATGTCTCTGGCATCTAAAGCCTGTTTTACTGCAGCTGCCACGACTTGCTCTTGTTCATTAATGTCTCTACATAATTTAATATATGTGTTTAAATCTTCATGTTTCCATGGTCTAATGATATCTCTGCACCAACGATTCGCTTGCTCATAAGCCAGGTGTTTTAGTAATGGCATTGCTTGTTCTGTATTCCCAAAAACTCTGGTAGCTGTTTGAATAAGCCTATCTACAAATTCAGCATAAGGTTCATTAGCTCCTTGTATTACCTTAGATAATTGACCTTGTAAACCTCCATGTCCTTGTAAAGTCTTCCATGCCTTAATTGCATCTGCAGCAATTTGTGCGTATACGCCAGGATCATATGCAATTTGTTGCTGCTGATCCTCATAAGGTCCCTTTCCTAACAACATATCTAGATTTCTCTGAGGATAACCAGCTGCTGCATTTCGCCTAGCCGTCTCCTTGCAAAATTCCTCATTGGCAACCTTCCATAACAGGTATTGTCCTCCATTTAGCACAGCTTTACACATATTAGCCCAATCTGCTGGCGTCATGTTCAAGTTGTTAATGGATTCGACCATGCTTACAGTGAAGGGTGCTTGAGGACCATAGGTTGTTACAGCCTCTTTTAGCTGCTTCACTGTTTTGAAATTTAAAACTTGGTAAAATCGCTGCCCTCTTGCCTCAAATACAGGGCATGTTAATATTTGAGATCTTGTCTCAGGATCCCAACTATCAACTGCGGGGGTTGGGGGCCTCCCAGCATATGGAGGTGGCGCTGTTGGTTGGACACTTACGCCCTCTGGTGATAGAAAGGTGTTAGTAGCAGTCTCCTGTAGAGGTGGTGCTGTTGGTTGGACACTTACACCCTCTGGTGATAGAAAGATGTTAGTAGCAGTCTCCTGTTGTAACTTTCCCCCTGATGGCTTTTTCTGTTTTACACTTTCTTTCTCTGTCTGACTAGCTTGAGAGGCCTTCTCTTTTACTTGAATCTTTTCCTCTCTGACTAACTTGAGAGACCTTCTCTTTTACTTGAATCATTATGTCTTCTCCTTCCTCTACCATTGTCTGAACTGAAGGCTTTGGACTAAGCAAACAAGATATGAACGTCCACAATGGCAATGTGCCATCTGGCAGAGTCCCTGGGCTTTTCTTTTCTATTCTTTTTAAATCTTCACCATGATGGTTCCATTGTGATATATTTAACAGCTCCTCCTTAAAAAGCCATGGGCTACATTTTTGTATTGTATCAATGTATGCCCTGATTGTTCTTGATTTTACTGAGATGCCTCCTCCCTCTAACAATTTACTTAACACTCTTTCAGTTTGTTTTTTACTAATTTCTGAGCCCGTATTTCTACTATAATACAACCCAACAAGATGACGCCAAACAAAACCGAGACAGAATGAAATAAAAAGGGAACAACAAAAAGTCATTATAGCCTTTCTATCCTCCTGACATGGGCATCCGTCCTTTCTCCCTATCTGTTCCTCAGACGTAAATAGTTTTTCCTCAGATGTGAGCGGTTTTTCTTCCGTCTCACTCATCTCCAGGGACAGGCAACTTAAAACAAAAGTGAAGCAAAATAAAAGAGGAATCTTAAAATGGCTACCCATCCTCTCGCCCTGCCCTCAGGGGCGAGCAGTTTCACTTACCCTCAGTCGCTCCCCGTGCGAGCCACCAAATGCCGCAGTCTGGCTGGGCACAATCAGGAGCCACTTGTCAAAAGAAACTAACTTTATTTTTAGAACCACACACGCCAAACAAAACAGCCTCTCAGGAAAAACCCTCAGAGCCTCAACTGCCACCACCGGCTTTCCACAAGCCTTTCTCTCCCACACAAGCTTCTCTCCACCTCCCACAATCCTCCTGCTCTTGAGGCCGATTGGCTGGGTCACGTGGGCGGAGCCAAAAAAGTCCCCCAATGAGCAGCTCCGTGGTCTGAAAGGGCAGGGAAACAGCCCAATGAGCATCACCGCAGAGGAGCCAATCAGCTAGATGTTGCTGGGGCCGCTGTGAGCCAATCATCAGCCGGCAGCTGGAAGTTTGCTGGCAGCTGGAAGTTTGCTGGGGCCCCTTCGGCTGTGGCTCTCAACAAGTGGCATGCTGGAGCCAAACTGTACCAGCTTGTGAGAGATAACTGCTCAATATTCAGGAATTTTACAAGCAGACTTTCAACTTTTGGTAGCTAGTCATCAGCCTTGGAGGAAATGCTTATACCCAGGAAATCGGCATTGTTAACACTCCCTACTGGCCTGTGAGGAGCTGGCTTATCTGCACACCATTGGGTATTACACTGCCCAGGGGACTTGCAGTCTTAGTGGGTACTCCTGAAAACCTTAAAGATTCAAAACGAACTTCCATCTCTGAGATTTCTCTAACAGGGAATATTTTCTAACAGGGGTAAGTGATAAAAATAATAGGTAACATTGCCAAGGGTTACCACATAGGCACAACCCTAGATCATCTTGGTAAAAGTTGGCTCTACAGATATATATCACTAGGAGATATGGCAGGAAAAGGTCTGAAAGGCAATGCCTTTCTGGGTCAAGAAAGATTCCCAAAGATACATGTACACGTAACCATTATATAAAACAATTCTGTAACACTGACCTGCTGAGAGACAGTTTTCCGAGTTACTGACCAAAACAAAGAATGAAGCATGCTTTCCAAGAGAGGACGATGCTTCTTGCACCACCACAAAGGATGTGGAGGTAACTCAGTCTGTGCACTGAAAAACTAAATTTACTGAATGCCAATTAAATAATTTAATGATTTCTAAAACTGAAAATGGGTCTTAACATTCTACTGAGATCTTCAAAAGTCAAAACTTCTGGTCTAGTGCCTAAAGAAAGGCCAAGCTTTGTTACCTAAGTTGCATTGAACTGCACTTATTCATAGCCCCAGAATATTTTCTTTAAAAGAGGGAATAGATCAATGGTGCTTAATATAAATTAGTCATCTTTTCCATGTATTTCTTTCCATGCTTCTCTAAGAATTGATTGTGTGCTAACTCTGTACCAGTCACTGTCATGGCTATACACAAGAACATTTAAGTTGTAGTCCCACATTGGTTTTCAGAAGATTCTGTGCATTTCAAAAATAGATGGTGAAGGAAGTACTACTGAAAGCCCTCATAGAGATTCTACCAGTAATATACAAAGAAATCACTTTCTGATTTGCTCACTATAATTAGAAAATGACATTTGAAAGTTATAACCTTTTACCTTTTTGGTCCCACAATAATAGTCATCAAAAGCCTTTGAACGTATATGATTTTATTTCTAAGGAAAAATGTGATGTAGCTTTATAGCATTCTTGAGAGGAACATAAATGTAACAAATTAAAAATATACTTTACAGGGAATATCATGAAATATAGCAAGAAAAATTTTGGTTTATAATTAACCCATGTTTCTGAAAATATAGAGTCACATTTTAATAAAAAATGGATTTTAAATAATGGGTTCTAGGAACTGCAGTTGTAGCAATACTTTGATGTATTTTTATACTTGTTTGCTATTGGAAAAACACATGTTTCTGTCAAAGCACATCAAATTCATGAACACATTTTATATGCAGAGCTCAATAAATATCGTCTTGTACTCATTTTAAAATATGATCAATAATGGAAAAGATTCCATGAGCTTCTGGAAAAAGGTAAATTCATTTCAGCTGTTTGGGGGTGAAATAGTGTGTAGATGTCTATTACGTACATTTGATTTATAGTATTAAAGTCAGAAAAATCCTTATTAATTTTATACTTGGATGACCTGTCTGCTGGTGATAGGGGTTCTTGCAAACAACATTTAGTTGAATTTTGTTTTTTGATCCAATCCATTAATCTGTGTCTTTTAACTGAGGAGTTGAGGCCAGATGCATTCAGGGTTATTATGAATATGCGTTTGTAATTTTCTGATATTTTGGTTTCTTTACTACATTTAATTCTGTCTTAATTTTCATTTAGTTGGTTGCTCTTCTCATGGTCATCATCTATTTAGGAGCTTTGGGAGTTATTTTTTGGGTATATCTTTGTGCAGTTTATCTTTGAGTATTTTTTGTAGTGCTTCTTCAGTGATCATAAATTCTTTTAGCTTATCCATGTCATGTAAAGCAATTCTTTCTACATTGATTTTGAAAGAGCTTTGCTGGATTTAGAAATCTTGACTGACAACATTTTTCTTTAAGAGCTTTCTTTGAATAGCTCATTCTGGGCCTTGTTGTTCTTTAGGATCTGAGTTCAGAAGCCAGAAGTTAGCCTTTGTGGCTTGCTCCTAAATGAGACCTGATGGTTTTCTCTTGCAGCTTTTAGTGCTCTTGCCTTCTTTTCTATGTTAGGTATTTTAATTATTGTGTGTAAAAAAACAAAAAGTTGAAACTGAGAGAAAATTTTTAAAAAAGAAATAAAAAGGAAGAAAAGATGATATATATTTATAGCTACCAGGTATTTTGTCTTCTCTTTTTGATTTTTGTTAATTAAGAAAAAAGATAAATCAAAAGTTACCAGCCCAAACTAGGTGAAGTCGGAGAAGAGAAAAAAGCAGATCATACAACAAATACCTTTCTGACACCTGGAGCTTCCAAAACCACTAAGAAGACTTTCATTAAAATTAATTGTATGAAAATTTATATTAAATTATGTAATGAATATTAATTAAGCAGATTTATATTAAATTTTATTTAAATTCATTTCTTTACATTTTATTAAATTAATTTAAATAAAATTTAATAAATTGTAAATATAAATTATGTTATAATTTAATATAAATTTTTATTAAATTAAAAAGCAATACAAATAAAATTTTAAGTGCTACATCAAAAAATCAAGTTAAATTAAATGTAATAAAACTATCATAAAATTAATTATTAAAATAAATTTAAATTAAAGGTAATAATATTAATTTATATTTAATTATAATATAATTTATATTTAAAAATTTGTTTCATACTAAATTAATTTTAATAAAAATGTTCTTAATGGTTCTAGAAACTACGGGTGTCAGAGAAGCAACTGCCACATAATCTGCTTTCTCTCCTCTCCGACTTTCACCCAGCTCAAGCTGGAAACTCTTGATTCATCTTTTATCTTAATTTACAAAAATAAAAAAAGATTAATTTTAAATACTCTTTTTGATAACCCAGAGAAGCGTTTAGATAAACAGTCCAGATTTTAATGATACATTCTTATAAATTAACTTTTCCATTGGAAATGACTGATGTATTAAGACTTCTGGTTTGACTCACACTTAACGGGTAGAAACCATTTTCCTTATGGACATATTTAACACCTAGAAAATTGAATTTAACCTGAAGTGACTTTGTAGCCAATTGAAATAGTTAAATGGATAAGTTTTGATTAAAGAATTTTAAAGAGAATCTTAGAATTGAACCACTAAATTTCATATTTGGGCTCTCCAAGTGTAATTTTGTTTTAGTAGTTGGACAGTGTTGAACAAAAAGTCCTGATAAAGAACTATTAAGCCTAGTTTGCTCATCTGGTCTCAAGGGTATGTTGGGGACACTTTTGGATCTTCCCACTCAAAATGGCTATATTTAACACCTAGAAAATTGAATTTAACCTGAAGTGACTTTGTAGCCAATTGAAATAGTTAAATGGATACTAACAAATAATCCTTGTTCTCTTTCCATAGTGAAGGTCTGGAGTTGCTGCTGGAGGTCAAGGACATCCTAAGTGTATGAAACTGGAGACATTCTAGCACAAAGAGCTCGTCTTTCCACGTCTTTCTGCTGGATAATTTGAGTGAGTTTCTCAACCTCATCTTTAGACAGCTGATCGATCTGTTTGGTTAAAGATACATTCTTTGAATTACAAAGTTGAATCTCAAGTATTCGTTCTTTGATTCTTTTCACAAATTTTTCCATTTTGGCTTTACATATGGCATGGTTTTCACTCCCATTTTCTATATTAAGGCTTTTCACTTTTGTTTCTGGAAAACTATCAGCATTCTCTGTTTGAATGTCCTGTCTCTCTTCATGCCCCTGGGCTTTTATTTTTCCATGGTTTTCTGCAAATTCTTAATTTCCTTGTCTTTTTAAAAATCAGTTGGATATGTGCAGCCTTCATCTGCTCATACTGGTATTTAAATTTATCCATTTCCTCCTTCTGCTCCTGCAGAGACTGAAGTAGTTGCATTTGACTCTGGTTTTGATTGTCAATGACCTTTTGATGATGTGTAACTTCCTCTTCCAGATGATTCTTGATGACATTCAGTTGAGATACCTCAGATTCTAGTTCTGTGATACTATCGAGGGTTTGAGGCTCAGCCACAGCTCCAACTCGATTCCGCTGTTCCCTAAGTCTTTCCAATTCTTCTTGCAGATGTCTGTTTTCTTCTTTCGTGGAGCTAAGACTTCTGTCTTTTGCCTCTATGGTCTGCCTTAAAATTTCATTTTGTTTTAAGGCCTGAGAACACTTATCTAAATCCTTTTGCAGTTCTGAACTTTCTTGTTTGAGTTGGCCAATAAAAACTTCTTTCTCATTTATAAGTTGCATCAATTGCTTCTGTTCTTCTAAACAAGATGTCAATATTTCCTTAGTTTCTTTTTGATCAGTAACCATTTGCTCAATATTCTTCTTGAGTCCTGCTATTTCAAAGTCTTTCTCTTGACTGAGTTGCACTACACGCTCCTGTTCCAGCTGTAAGACAGAGGTATTCCAATTACATACATTTGAGAGTTCCTGAATAGTCTGCCTGTAATTGTTTGCCTCTTCCAACAGTCTCTTTTTGGCCTGACACAGTTCTACTTGTATCTGTTCTTTCTCTCTTTTCAGAGTCTCCATAATAGTGTCTTTTTCTAGAGAAATTTGGTTGTTACCAGCAATAGATTCTTCCAACTGATGCCTTACATCTTCACATGCTGAAATCAACTTGTCATTTTCCGTTTTCAGATCAAAAGCACCTTTCTTTAAATTTTCATTGAGCTGTTCTACTTCTGCAAGATTTTGCTTCAAGTTTGTAATTTCGACTTCCCCTTCTTTAAGCAAGTCATCCTTAAAATGAGAGTCTTCATTAACAGCATGTCTTAACTCGTTCCAAACTCTACATAGTTCCTCTTCCTTTTGGCTAATGTATTCCTTAAGTTCCAGGTTTTCCTGCTGGATGTTTAAACTACTTTTTTGTGACTGACTTAGCTGATTTACTAAATCTTCGACTTTATCTTCAAGCTTCTGCTTGGTTAAATGCAAATCACGGAGGCTCAGTGCACTCTCAGTTAACTTTTCTTTCTCTACATGCAACTCTTTAGTTATGTCCATTTTATCCTCCTCAAATTGATGAACTCTCTCTTTTTTGTCATCTAGATCTTGTTTCAATTTCGTGATTAGACCATCTCCTTCATTTTGCTGTTTTGATAGCTCATCTATTATCCAATTCATGTGCTTTGTGGCTTCCCGGTGTTCATTGTACAGATATTCTAACTGAGCTATCAGCATTTCCTTTTCGTTAATACTCTCATACAGCTCTTGCTCCTTAGCCTCCAAGTTCAGTGTTAAGTCTTGTATTTGTGCATTCAAATACATGTCTGTTGAAGCCATACTTTTAATGACTTCATATTCCCAGCTCAGTTTGCAAAGTGATATCTGAAGTTCTTTCTTTTCTTGACTCAATAATGACTTCTCTTTTTCTAAAACTTGCACATGTATTTGAAGTTTCTGATTGTCTTCAGCAAGGCTGGTATCCTGTCTTAAACTACTCAGTCTCATTCTTTCATTTTCAGCATCAGACAGGGCTTGTTGGAGTCTGAACACTTCTCCCACTGATGAACTCTGTGGAGAAATTGTTCCCTTTTCTGCAGCAGGATCACTCTGCTCCATCACAGAGGGCTGCAATTTACTACATTCCACTTTCAAGGTTTCACGCTCTTCAATTATTTGTCTCTTTTCCACACTGAGCTGCTCCTTTTCTCTCTTCAGGACATCTCTGTCGTGTTCTGCAGAAGATAATTTTTTATTTATGACTTTGATTGTATCCTCAAGTTCTTTGATTCTTCTTGTGGACTCTAGTTTTTCAGTTTGTAGAACCTGAATAGTGTTTTGCATCTCCCAGACTTGAGACTCATCAGTGACTGTAACTCCTGAGTCACCTTGGTGTAACAGCTTTTCAAGTTCTGCAATCCATCCTTAATAGTCATTTGACTCCTGTTGATGCTGGTGATTTAACTCTGCCAGTTTCTGTTGATGTGCATTCTGCAAAATGGACATTTCATGTTGGTGATGATCCATGTCCTGACTTCAGTTTTGTTCCAGTACCTTAATTGTATGGTGTAGTTTGCTGATTTCACTTTGATCTGACTCATTTGTTCCTTGTGCCTGCGTGTTACACCTCCAATGGCCAACTTCACATTCAAGTCTTGAAACTTCATTTTTCAATCTGTTTATTTCCTGTTGTGATGAAATTATGTAACTAAAGTCCTTGGCATCGTCATGGAAAGGTGACAAATACTGGCTGAGTCCATAACCGAATGAATGAGGTGCGCTGGTTGCTGGTACACCACCGGCTTCTGAAGGTACTGATTGAGCAGCTGACTGCAGGCTCAACATCTGCTCCTGTAGTGCCATCTGGCTTGCTTGAAGATGGCTGATGTCTACCTGTTTCTGTTGCAGCTGGTTTTGGTAACTTGTAGATTGAAGGTTTATTTGAAGCTGTGATGCTTCATCTTTTTTGTCCAGATCAGTACAATACTTTTTAAGTCTTGTATTCTCTGATCTCAACCTTGATTCTGTGGCTTCAATTTTCTTTCTTCGACAACGAAGTGAACTGTCTTCCACAGCTTTGGAGACCTCCACAGGCATATCTATGATGCAGCTGGAGACTTGGCCAGTGGGGGAAGCCAAGCTGCCTCCCACCTGACCCAAGAACTGGCCCAAGCTGAAGGCTAGACCTCTAAACCACAAAAACATTGCTAGAGCTTCAGAGAGCCCTCAGCTGTGCTCCAAAAACCGCTCTATGACCATCCACCTTCCAGCTGAATGTCCTGGAGCGTTGCAGGGGTCAATTATGACCAAAGCATTCAGAATTCCGGGGAGTGCAGGGTTCCTGCCCCCTTGGCACTCTGCCTTAAAGGTAGAGGCCTGGCCTGGACTTTGACTAGAAACTTGCCACCAGGGTCTCAGTCCCCCCCGCGGGGCCTCTGCTCCCTCCCTGGACTTTCAGCCCTCTGGTTGGGTGACTTCTCCCTCAGAGTTAGTGACTCCCCCAGCTCCAGCTGGTCCTGCCACCTCCATGCTGGCCGCCAGAACATCCCCATCGGAGACACTTTACCCTGTCTTGGAGGCCTGAAGTTGAAGTTCTGTCCTCAAGGACTCAAGTTTTCTATGAAATCTAATCTGTTGGTAATGGTTTTTTTTTGTTTTTTAATATATGACTGCGGAATGCATTACAATTCTTATTATACACATACAGCACAATTTTCTACATCTCTGGTTTTATACAAAGTTTTTGCACATACATGTACTTTGTATAATAATGATCATCACATTCCACCATCATTTATAATCCCACGCCCCCTCCCTTCTTTTCCCACCCTCTCTGGCCAATCTAGAGTTCCTTTATTCCTCCCATGCTCCCTCTCCCTATCCCATTATGAATCAGCCTCCTTATATCAAAGGAAACATTTGGCATTTGGTTTTTTTGGATTGGCTAACTTCACTTAGCATTATCTTCTCTAACTCCATCCATTTACCTTCAAATGCCATGATTTATTCTCCTTTATTGCTGAGTAATATTCCATTGTGTATATATGTCACATTTTTTTTTAAATCCATTCATCCATTTAAGGGCATCTAGGTTGGTTCCACAGTTGAGCTACTGTGATGTGTGATTTGTGTCTTTCATTTTCATGAGTTCTGACTGGTTTCTTTTCAATATTTCTATTTCTTTACTGAAGTGGTCTTTGATCTCCAATATTAGCTTTCTTCATTCATTGGTTAGATCTTCTTTTAGTTTAACATTTTTAATAATCATTTTTATAACCTTTGAAATTTCATCTACTTCCATATCTGTGGGATCCTTTGTTGGGAGATTCTGAATTTTGGAGGAGATTTCTTGGCCTATTTCCTCATGTTTTCGGAGGTCTTGGTTGGACTTGTGCATCAGTTTAGATAGATTCTCCTTCCTCTTTTAAGTCCTCTTGTGGATAGTTATTTTTTTTGCTTTATGAGTAGATATCCAATGTGCAACCTGAGATGCCCCTCTGATTGTTCCTCCTTGAGACCTGTTTTTTTTGTTTTTGGTTTTTGTTTTTTGGTTTGAGAGTTTTGTTTCCCCAATTCTCTGCCCTTGAAGTAATGTGAAGGCTCAGGTGGGGCTAGATCATCATGTGTGGAGTGAGATTTGCTGTTACTTACTTGGCAGAGTTGTGAGTATTGCTCCACAGTGAGATCTCGACTCTATGATCTTGAAATGTCCCGATCACTTTCCAGTCCCTCTTACAGGAAGTGGGAGCCAGGAATAGCACTACTGTTAACAACAGTTGTACAGTGTCTGCTGTCCACTTTGACATCTATAGCAATAATTGCCACCTATATAGGAATGTTGAGGTGAGCATCAGTATCATCAATACCAAAAATAAAAAATCATGAACTCAATCAAGAATTAAACAGCAGGTGTCTACTACGTCGTGTATTCTATCAATATCACAGCAACATGAATGGGAAAGAATTACATTAACTATCTAATTCTATTAGATAGTAGAATTAAAGTTTCTTAAGTAAAGAGAAAATAGGGTAAGAAGGCAAGAAAAGGTTTGAAATATGTTAAAAAGTAAACAAAAGAGAGTCAGGAGATACGTAGCTGAGGTTGACTATAAAGCAGGAAGAACAAAAAATAACTATATGTAATTAAAAGAAAAAAGAGGAGAGGGAGCATGAAAATTTGGTATTGGGGTGGGGAGAAACTAAAGAAATGGTACTAAGGACAAAAACCAGTATACAAACAAATAAGCAAATGTAAGATCAAAACAGTTAAAGCCTATATATAATTATATCCTACCTAAGTCAAAACAAGGCTAAATCATAAACAGGTGCAAAAGAAAGCAATTATATGAAGTAAAATTACATAAATATATATTTTCAAACCTATTCACGCAGTGAGAATACCCCCCCCCCACACACATACACCAAAACTTGCAGAAAATGGGAAAAAAAATACAATAAAAATTTAAAATTTTTAACCATGTAAAAATTAGGGGAAAAAAAGAAGAGAAAAAATTAGGGAGAATACATAGAAAAAAGGGAAAAACGGAGATGAGTAAAAACAGAAAAAAAAAAACTTAATGGGAAATAAAATGCTTGTTTCCTCTGAGGTGGTCAAACTCTTGAAAGAGATGGGTTTGCATTCTTTATATCTATTGTTGGCTCTGTAACCCTTGGGTGAAGAGCTGGGGGTTGTTAGGACCCACATCTTTGTGTCCTAACCAGCTGCAGTCCTTGTGGCTAGGGGGATCTCTTAGCTTCCAGTCTCTCAGTAGAGGGTGGGATCCACCAGGGAGGCTAACAAATGGTGTATTCCTGTAGTGGGGGTGGTGCAGAGTTCAAAACTGGAAGTTGCAGTAGTTGGGGTTTAGTCTTGGCTGAACTTTGGAACTCTGGTAGGTATTTGAGATTTGCTGGAGGCCCCCTATTGTTGAGGTGATTCTGATCTCTGCTGGATGTATGGATCTTGAGGTTTTCATTAAAATCCACTTTCAGGGTATAGGGACTAAAGTTTCCAATCCACCACTGTTAATATGAATTACCAGGTACCCAGCCTGGGATGCAGAAGTTCCTGTGTGGCCCTTATTAGCATCTTCCCAGAACTTCTGGTGGGGTGGCAACAACAATGGGAGTCTTTGTCCTTGAAATTAGGAGGCTGTTTTCTCCAGGCACAATTTTCTGTGCACCTATTTTAGTTACTGTGGTTGAGTCACACTCTGGGATTCATCAGAGATGACTGCTGGCAACTTCCTTTATAAGTTCCTGATCTACTGTCTGCTGGCTGCCACACAGTGCTTATACATAAGTCCTGTACAGGGGTTATCCCTAATTCCTGCTGAACTCAACCATGTGCCAAGTGATTTGGGGTTGGATTTCACTGAATTACTTTCCCATTAACTGGGTCCATTAATATGAGCCACCCTCTCTATTCCACACGTTCCCCAAATTCAATTCAATTTTTTTAAAAAAATAAACCATGCTGTCCTCTCTCTGCCTGTGTTCCCCCCTTACCCCCAGCGGTCGCCACCAGCCAAGCTGGCCCCCCTCTAACATAAAATTTTTCATATGATTTTTGAAGTTTCTCCCTTCCCATGTCTCTGGTTTCTTTTATGCTCCAGTATAAAGTTTCAGTGAGTTGTGTGCTCTCTTCTCATTTCATTCCTTCCTCAGACACAGCATTTACTATCCCAGCTATCACTGCCTGCCCTCTGTCTCCCCAACTAGGGTCTGTAGCTTTTTCATCTTTTTGGGTACAGTGCTTAGCACAGTACCTAACAGGTAACAGATGCTCAAAATAGATTCAAATAGATGACTGAAGTGAAACAAGATTCAGGATTATTTAAGAGAAGGCTTCTTAAATTAATCTTAAGTAGAGGGGTCTTTCTCTGAGAACCTCTTGGGTTTTACAGTGTTGAAGCCATAACACACTAATTTAATCACACATTTACGTGCATAAATATTTAGGTGCTAATATTGGCCAGGGAATAATGAACACACCTCAAAAGCCTAATCATAACACAATCATCTAAAGTACTATTTGTGTATGTGTGTGCATGTGTGTGTGTGTGTGTATGTGTGCAATGTTGGAAGAAAGGATCACAAGTATTTAGCTGAAATTCTTATGTAAAGTATATTTATCATGTGGGTTGGAAGAGAAACCTCAAATGCTGAGGAAGAATAAGTGTTTTCTATTCTCTGACAGGCACTGGGAAGAATCAAAATTAGAGTGCTGGGGGCTTATTAGAGCCTGACAATGCTGGGCCAAGACTACCAGGGGGCAGATCGATCATTCCTGCCTTACCACCCAGCTCTGTTGGTCAACACCAAAATGTTTCAAGTTCCAGTTCAAAGGCCACATCTAGGAAGTCTTGCTTAATCTCTTAAGTAAAACAGTCCATTCCTTTTCCACATACTTTTACAGACGTCCATCATGGAATCTTATGCTTCATTGCTTTAGGAGTTAGGTCTATTTCCCTCTCTCACAGCATTTCTCAAACTTTTCTCTTCCAAAGTAGAAAATAAGCTTCACATTTAGATCCAGTACAAACAAATGCATAAATATTTATGTATACAATTGGAGAAAAGATTTAATTAAAAATACTTATGTGTAATGCACTTTGATGCTTTCTATTCTATTTCTCTGGAAGAAAGACCACATTTTCTTTTAATATCCAATATCTAGCAAAACACCTGGCAAACAATGGTACTGAATAAAAGCTATTAGATAACAATTTGAAAACACTATCAATGAGTAACTATAGACAAAATCATTATAACATCTGAATGGTTGTTTCTCATTCAGAGAAGGAATGTGTATCTAGGACTTGACCTCATAACAATACCTCTTATGTTTAGCTTTGGCAATCTCTGAAACTTCTTTATAAATTTTCATTTTTTAAGTTACATCTCAAGTATCAAGCCTGACAGAAGCTGGGCACAGTGAACCCTGTAGGATATGCGGCCTATTCACTTCATGTGTTGGAAGTCTGTATGTTCTCTCTCAAAGGAAGGAGACTACTGTTGACTAGAAAAAAAAAATGTAGGCATAGCTTGTCCTTGTTGGGGAGGCAATTAGGTGGGAGAGGGAACGGGGGAAGTAACACACACACACACCCACACACACTTAATACATACATAAATAGAGAGATATAAATACATATTAGGGAAGGAGTCAGGCAGTTCTAAGTCATCCGGGGCAGAGTAGTCTGTAGCCAGATCAGCTACAAGTATAGCAGTACCTTTGGTATGATCACATAGCACCTAAAAGCACATCACATGCTGTCTAATTATGAGGAAATATGGAAAACATATTCCAGATTGTGTCATCTTTCAGAACCTACAAGATTCAAAACACGTAACAAATTCTGAAAGACTGAGGAAAGGAATGAAGAAAGAAAATAGGAAATTTTAGCTCCTGGTTTAGATAAGCTTCTTATTCGTAATATTCTCAAGCCAACAAAATGCTAAAAATATATCATTCTGCTTCTTTACCTCTGATCAAAACTGCAGGGTACAGCTGCTTAACATCCTAGTAATCTCTGTGGATCAACTGGCACAGTACACTTTTAAAGGGTGTATTTATGGGTATGTAAGAGTCTGGGTATTTTGGTTCTCATTTTATTTTTTCTTACAGGTTACAGTTAAATACTATGATTTTAAATCAATTATGAGGGAAACATACATTAGCTGCATGTATGTATGTACATACATACATATATACATAATATATGTATGTACTAATCAGCCCCATATAGTAGTACATACAGCTAATGTATGTACATACATACATATGTACATTACTGTATGTACTACTATATGGGGCTGATTAGTTTTGCAAATGGTAGCTGATGCAATTTCCACAGCTGACACCCATCCTAAATGTTTTTCTACGTGTGTACATGTTCCTCACTCTCTATTTCATTCACTTTTTGTTGATGTAATGTTTCTGTTGCATTTTATGCATGTCTCATGCTTGTTTCCCTGTGTTGTTTTGCCTGAATCAATCAATTCTTGATATATAGGAACCAGTGTCTGGGTTAAAACCAGACTCAAATGAATGCTAACTAAATGCTATGCTAATGATATGAGGAACCCATCAGTACTATCAGGCTATTCAAGGCAATCAGTGGACCTTCTGTTGGATGATGAGGACTGTCTAGTGTTGGCAAGTCTCCAAATCAAGTACTAAAGGGTGATAGCTTTACAATTGACCCTCCATATCTATGGGTTTTATATCACTGATGAAACAATCTTGGATCCAAAATATTTGGGAAAAAAACCCTATGTTTCTAGTGAACTTTTACAGACATTTTTCTCATCATTATTCCTAAGCAATAAAGTATATAAACTATTTACATAGTATTTACATTTACTAGGTATTATAAATACTTTGGAGATGATTTAAAATACATGGGAGGCAAACAGCACCCACTCATTTTTAAAACACAGAGAAACTAGGCATTAGAAGAAACTTACCTCAACATTGAAAATACTATGTATAACAAAACCCAAGGGCAACACTACTCTGGATGGAGAAAAACTGAAATAATTTCTTCTAAAAACAGAAACAAGCAAGGATATCCAGTTTTACTATTCCTACTCATCATGGTTCTTGAAACCCCAGCCAAAGCAATTAGGCAAGAAGACGAAATTAAAGGGATCCAAATAGGAAAAGAAAAGCTCAAATTATCTCTGTTTATTGATGACAGATTGTATATTTAGAAGACCCTAAACACTCCATCAGAAGACTGTGAAAGTTCATAAATGAATTCTGCAAAGTAGCAGGATACACGATTAACATTCAAATCACACGATTAATACTGAAATCAACAGCATTCCTATACTTCAATGATAAATCTGCTAAAAAGAAATTAGGAAAACTATCCCATTCACAATAGCCTCAAAAGACAAAAGTCAAAACAAACAAACAAACAAACAAAAAACTTGGGAATCAATCTAAAAAAAGAAGTGAAAGACCTCTACAATGAAAACTACCTAACACTAAAGAAAGAAATTGAAGAAGACCTTAGAAAGACCTCACATGTTCTTAGATAGGCAGAATTAATATTGTCAAAATGGCCATAATACCAAAAGTGCTAGACAGATTCAATACAATTCCAATCAAAATTCCATAACATTCTTAGAAATAGAAAAAGCATTTATGAAATTCATTTGGAAAAATAAGAGACCCAGAATAGCTAAAGCAATACTCAGTGAGAAAAGTGAAGCAGGAGGCATCACAATACCAGACCTCAAATTATGCTATAATGCTATAGTAACAAAAACAGCATGGAACTGGCATAAAAATAGGCATGATGACCAATAGAATAGAAGACACAGAGACCCATAATGCCTATCAACAGATAAATGGATCAAGAAAATGTGATATATATAAAAAAATGGACTTTTACTCAGCCATAAAGAAGATTAACTTTATTGCATTTGCCAGAAAATGGATGGAATTGGAGACTATCATGCTATGTAAATTAAGCCAGTTATAAAAAGTTGAAGGTAAAACAATCTCTCTGATATGTGGAAGCTATTCCAAAATAAGGGGGCAGGTTAAAAAAAATAGAAGGAAGATCAGTGGAGTAGACAAAGGGGAATGAAGGGAAGGGAGTATGGATGAGACAGGGAAAGACAGTGGAATGAATCTGACCTAAGTTTCCTATGTATATATATGAATATTCCACAGTGATTTTCACCATCATATAGATCCACAAGACACTAATGTTAAATAACATAACAACACTATAAGTAAATAGAAAGAGCAGTAGAGTAAAGGGGAGGAGTAGTGGGGGAGGGACAAGAGAGAGAAAAGGGAAATAACAGGGACTGAATTAGAACTAATTACATTCCATTACATCAAAATCAATCCTATTGTTATATATAACTAAAAAGAACCAATAAATAAAAAAGTTCATGGCAGGATATATGTGTATTATGTACAAATATTAGGCTATTTTATATGAATGTCTTCTTATGGATACCAAGGGATGAATGATAAAGACACCATTACTTTTATGCACATGAATATTATTTATTCCACAAACGTGTATGAATATCTGCCATCTACCAGGTTCTGTTCTTAAGAAATTCATAATCAGTAGAGAGATGATTAACTACTCACACAAATAACTAAATGAGAAAGATTGATAATGGCTAAGAAGAAATGGCACAGGGTGCTATAAAAGCATAAATGGCAGGATTTGACCTCATTCTCCATGTGCCCAGAGTGGTAGAAAAGAGCTGTAAAACTAATTATTTGATGATAGTAAAGATTATTACCTTGTAAGTACATGATAATAGTGTGTTGTGTTTGTGGTTTTGTGTTCCTATATTGTAGAAAACACTCAGAAATAATTATGATGAAATGACAGAATATTTTGGATTCACTTCAAGATACTCCAGGGGTGGAAACTAAAATTGTCATTATTATTATTATTTTGGTACTGGGGACAAAACCCAAGGGCACTTAACCACTGAGGCACATCCCCAGCCCTTTTTAATATTTTATTTAGAGACAGGGTCTCACTGAGTTGCTTAGGGCATTACTAAATTGCTGAGGCTTGTTATTGTGACCCTCATACCTCAGCCTCTCGAGCTGCTGGGACCATAGACATGTGCCATGGCACCTGGCACTGGAACCACTTTTTTCTTGCAGTTGGGGTATCATCTCACAGGATTCATTGCATATTTTTCTCTACTTTCAATTCATGTTTGAAAAAACCCATAATAAAGAATTAAAGAAAAATTTTCAGCAGAACTAAAGGAAATACTCATCCAAAGCAATGAAAGTCCCATTTCTACATGAAAGTTGAAAGAGCATTTTTCATGGTGTTTTGCTGTGCCTCCATCTTTCTCAGGATCATTGTGTGTTTTGATTTATCCCCTGCTTTTCACACCCTTGCTCACCTTCTCTGGATTTCAACCACGTTATGGTATTCTTTTTCTTTGATTGGGATTCTTCTCTTCAGTATGATTTTGTCACTAATTCCCTCATATGCATCTTCTCTCCTCTTTATATCCACTATTCATTCAGCTGTCTTACCACCAAGGCCCCTTGACCTCATTGCCCTGGAGGGCAATGGTCCTCAACAGAACCAGGCTCCTTATCACTAGTGGCACTCAGAGAGGGGTTGCATACTTGTGCCCATGCACCACTGCAAGACTTACCTGTCTCCCTGCAAATGACCTGTGTGCCAGAGCACTCTGCTTGTAAAACATTCAGACTGGATAATTACCTGTGAAGAACTGAGAGGGGCAACAATAGCAACTGGTTGGGGGAGAGGGGAGAGTAATACCTATTAATCTTTTCCTAAATGGATATTTTACTATTCATATGAAACAGATCAATTCTTTTTAATTCTAACATGACTTTTCATTATAGTATAATTTTTCTCCTGCCTCTTTTTGAGAGATTTCAACTACTTTCATTCCAAAAATAGTTATCTGTCCTAATCACCTCTCTGAGAGGAAGGAAGAGTGAAGTCTCCATTCTCCAGAAGAGCAAATTCATATTCAGTAACTATAAATAAACTGTGCTCACCTGGGAAGCCAGCAGGAGGGCTGAGAGCAACACTTCTGCCTCTCAGGCCCATTCTGAGGCTCACAGGCTTTCCTGAAAGTGTGGCCAGCAGTTCTTTATTGTTCTGTACTGTTTACTTACAGATGTGAAAGTACAGCATGTAATGGGAGGAATTTCATCAGTCTCATACACTTGAGCATGCCTTCAGCATTTATTAGAGGTGTATAATTTTGTCACTAATTCCCTCATATGCATCTTCTCTCCTCTTTATATCCATTATTCAACTGCACCCAACTCCTTTCATTGAGCACAAAAATGTGAATCTGTTTCCCAAAGTGCTACCAAGTCCATCAATCAGAAAGGAGATATTGCTGGTTCTTTGGTGTTTTTCTTTTTTAGCTGAAGAACAAACATGGAAGTCTAGAGAAGCATCTAGTGGATGGGGCCAATGAAGTGGCCTAAAACAGCTGTGGAACATCAGAAGGCCACAGGTTCCTTGGCCTGGTTTCAAAGACCCCACCGGCCAAAAAAGCCTCCCCAACCAACCTTACTGCTCATCTCTCTCCAGCTCTTACCCTTTTTTGTGGGCAGGCAAGCTGACTCTCTCCCTCATCAATATTGTGCACTCTATCCTGGTGCCCTCTTCATTTATCTTTGTCTCATCTCCAAATCCTGGCACAGAAATGGGTGCTTCCTCATATTAACCCACTGATCTTGCCATTATCTGCATAGCTGGAGGCTACAGGCTCTGTACCATGTGAGTTTAGCACCTAACAGTGTGCATGCATACATGCGTGCAAGTATGTATGTGTCTATTAGTCAACAGCACTGTTGTAGATATGACGTGAACACTCACCTCTGTTGAAATGCTCTCTGGCCCATCTCTCTTGCAGCTCTCTTGACCTCCTCAGGAACGGCGTCCTTCTCAGCATCAGAGATCTGGTACACTGTGTGACCTGCATCCAGACGATAAGGACCTCCTTTTCCCCCCAGACCTGCAGTGTCTCTTCCTCCTGGAAAGAAACAAGGAAAATCCAGATGGTAAGTCTGAACCTGACTACAAAACAAAAATTAGATTATGGTTTTGCAGATAGTTCTGAGAAGTAGCAAGACATGGTGGTAGACACCCATAATCCCAGTGGTTTGGGAGGCTGAGGCAGTAGAATTGCGAGTTCAATGTCAGCCTCAGCAAAACCAAGGCACTAAGCAACTCAGTGAGACCCTGTCTCTACATAAAATACAAAATAGATCTGGGGATGTGGCTCAGAGGTCAAGTGCTCCTGAGTTCAATCCCTGGTTACCCAACCCCACACACAAAAAAGATAGTTCTGAGAAGTATATTAATTGTACTTAACAGTAATTAAAAATTCAAATAACCTTTTTCTTAAAATAAAGGGTTTTCCCCTATTTAGCATGATTTTACACTTTTCTTATCCATCCAAATCTACATGTTTTTCAAGTTCCGTTACGAATTCTATGACACACACTTCGTCTGAGGCCTATACCTCATAGGGATTGATACTCAGGTGTACTATTTATTACTCTTCATTATTTTTCCTTTTCCTAAAAATTATGTAATGGATGGGATCATATTTTATTTATATTTTTAACTCTGCCCTAATTGCTTGAACAATATAAATACTTACTATATATCTGCTAAATAAATGAGTAACTCTTCCTTCACTTATTACCTTATTTTCCCACAAAATAGAAAAAGACAGTGAAGCTATAGATAAAATTTCTTTTGTTTTGAAAATAATGAAAAACAATACACAGAGAGGTTAAGTGACCTAATGATGACCTCTGGCTTAACTAAGATCTGAAGCCAATTATTATATCAACTTTGACTTTTAGCTTTGAATAATATACAATGGATAAATATTATCAGTTTCAGAGCAGCCTTTCAATGTAAACCCACATTTACATATTTATAAGTATATGTCATGTAATACTGTGTGAACAATTTATGTTAAAAATGAAAGTTAAATGGCTATAAGGCTAGGTAGGTACCATTATAAGAAGTGGTGGTGACATTGGCTAGATATATTCCAAATGAAATTATTTTAAAATACTACATTGGCCAGGAATGGTGTTGCCCACCTGTAATCCCTGGGACTCCGGAGGCTGAGGCAAGAGGATCATAAGTCCAAAGCGAAATTTAGCAACTTATCAAGGCCCTAAGCAACTTAGTGAGACTCTGTCTCAAAAGAAAAAATGAAAAGGGCTGGGGATGTAGCTCAAGTGGTTAAGCATCTTGGGGTTCAATCTTTGCTATAAATCAATCAATCAATAAATGCTACATTGACCAAAGAAAATATATACATATTTTGGCTAGAATTGGCCAACTTATTATCTTTGCTTTATAAAGATTAGACTATTAGTAAACAGTATATTTTGTTTGTTCACACATAACTTGAGAACTCATGATGAGACCTCAGTTGAGGGACGGTATCGTATACTGTAGTAAGCACAGTATTGTATACTATACTAGTTAAGGCAGACTGCCTGAGTTTGAAGCCTGATTCCAACTCAATAGCTGTGTCTTTCAGGAAATTATGCGAATATTCTGTCTCAGTCTCTTCATTTATAAAACAAGTACAATATTATGATTTACTTCATGAGATTGTCATAAAGCAAAAATGTTTAGAAAAGTATCTGGCAAAAAAATAAGAGCTATATAAGTTACCAATCTTACAATTATTATTTAAATAACTCCCATGCACAGAAGGAGGTAATTCTAGATTTATTAAGCGAAATATCTGAAAGCTTTTAGACTTTGGCTAAATTATAATAAATTATTTTTCTACTTTGAAGCTTTAATTGGTCTAAATAAACTAAGAAGGAGCACTTAGCATGAACCACTTCCTTTATGAAAGTCCAGGTAGGTAATTTCCTTTTGGGAACTACCATGACAACAGCCTATTAAATACAGCATCCTTTGACTGAAGCACATCTTATGTAATTTTTATTTAGAACTGGGTGGTGGAAAATTACTTCTTGGATTTGTGTGATTCCTGGCTCCCATTCACAATCAGCCTGTGGCAGAGGGAACAGGAACTGGGTAGTGACACTGAGCTATTGATGGGAAGGTGTGCTTGGGACCTCATTCCCTTCCTCCAGAGGCTGTTCTTAGCTATGCGGGGAGATGAACTGGAGCTCAGCACTTCTTAGATACTCAGAGGTCATCATTTGGGAGAAAGGAGGAAAGGACTTGCAACTGGTAGAGGCTGATGTGAGTGAGGGCCAGAGGAGTCACATGGCCCCTAGGGAAAGTCACCCTGGGGTACAAAGGATATGAGTGGAGAGTTCTTCATGATTTCTACTTCCCAGAGCTTTCAATTTGTACTTTTAAAGTGAAAACTCTTGCTGGAGGTTCTGCAAGGCGTAACTTTAAAGCTAAGCTTGGACATCCCAAACCAGTCCATGAGTTAAGGGACAAAGTGGGCAAGGGAGGGGGACTTTGAGGACTTGTTGGGCCAGAGCTAAATTCAATGTACAGAATTTTGAGGGAGAAAAATGACAAAGATAAAAAGACAAGTTGAAGCCAAGGGCTCTTGATCAACTGAAAAGTAAAAGGGAAAACACAGGTATCATCTGGACAGATATTGGAGCTAGCAGATGCAAGTTGAATAGTAAATAAGAACTTTCACCTTGGAGCAGTCCACTGCTGGGGAGCCTACTTCTGACCTACTAGTTCCTCAATGCATTCCATATGGATTAAATCTTGTTGGCTTGACACTACCTTCTAGATAAAAGGACATTTCTAAAAATAGCCTTTCTTTAAAGAGCTGCTTGATGAATAAACAGAGCAGGCAAGAAGCCTACAGCCTGTTGGATAGCTCATTGTCTCAGCACAGAAACCCATTTCCTGCCCAGGCTGTCAAGGCTAAGAGGTGCAGACTGTCCTCTGTGAAGGTGAAGCTTGGAATCCCTGCCAGCTCTCCTCAGGGCTCAGATAAGCTCAGGCAGTGCGCGGTCTGGCCCTATTCCAGTGGCCCAGCAGATGTGTTGGCTCCAGCTGCCCAAGGAAATAGGAAGACAGCAGTCATGGAACAATGGTAGGGTCTGGCAGCTGAGAGGAAGGAACAGACTGGTTTGCTTACTCTTGGCATCCGTGCAAATAGTAACCAACCCTCCTCTCTCAAAATCTTGCATCCTCATCACACTCACTTCTGAGATGTGAAACACAAGACTATTTCTTTTCTAGATCAGTTGCTTAAGAAAGAATATACTGTAGATTTCTGGCAAAAACCCAAGTACACACAGTTTAAAAGAAGGGATTAACACTTGAATGAATACCATCCTCAGGCCAGCCACTGAGCTCAGTGCTTTTACTATCACAATCTTTTTTTAGTCCAAATCATGACCTGGTGAGGCAGTATCACCCTTTTACCAGTGAAGCAACTCCAAGGGGGGTGAGAATGGTGTTAGGTCTTGGGTTAGTGGAGCCTATGGGAATCAAAATGCCAGGTTCTTCTTATGTCTTGATGCCACACTGGAGCCAAGGGTAAGAACACATTGACTGACTAATAGGGAAGGCTGAGAAGCACAGCTGGTCTCTGAGTCTTCTTGGGGAGTTAATGCAGAGCAATGTGCTGGCCTGATAGGAAGCCAGACCCACAAGAATGCCACGTCTGTGCTACCAACCTGTTCCACCAGCCCAAGTATTGCCACCCACATGGGGCATGTTGTCTGGGTCCTCCTTCCCGTGTTTAGGGGAGCTCACGTCTTCTCCACTGTCTCTGTTGATTGTTATCTAAAAATGAAGAATTGAAATATTATCACTATCCTGGGACCAACACCAGAAATTGCATGACAGAAAGAATTCTTTTCCTGCAAGTCCTTAAGGTATCTCATAATCTTAGGCTATATACACAACAGATGCTGTTTGTGTCTGGCAAAAATTTCATTAGTTAGCCTCCATCTAATTGGAAAGGAGATGAAGTACATTTTTAACAAATTCTTTTTATAAAAGAAAAGGAAATGGGTGGGGTTTCAGCTTTAGAATTTCCCTGGTGCAGAACATGCTACATTTACAAAAAGAAGAGACCTCCGAGACACAGAGCAAATGGATCTCAACAGTTAGACACTTTCCCAGCCATTTAAAAAAATCACCACCTTGATGATCAATCTCAGTGAATAAACCTACATTTTAGTCATTTCATTTTTAAAGAAATTCCATTACTTTGAGAAATGCTATTTTATATAAAATATGTAGAAACAAAACCAGAAAGTGCATATATATGTGGCTCAGTGGTAGATTTATGTTCTATACACCTACATATATTAAAAGTTGCTTGTTTATTTTCTGGACCCACTCCAATGTTATGGTGTTTTATGTTTTTCCTAATTTGTCTTTATTTTAACACTGAATTTATGATTCTTGCAATTCAAACAGAAAAACTGGCACTTTAGTTCCCCCTATTTCATTTATTTTAAAGCAACATACCAGAATATACACACCCCAAAATGAGGAATGGTGTTCAGAACAGTTCTTGCAATAATACTGTCAGTGCTCAGACCATTTTTGGAACTTCCTCTGGCACTCTACCTGGCACTGACCTCCTGTGGTTGATTCACTGGACCAAATCTGGTTAATAAGGTGATGAGGTGGGGTTTTGTGCAATTCAATAATGAGACTAGTTTGCTTACATGGGGTTTGACTCTTCAATAAGCCAATTATTAAAAAAGAAGTTCCAAAAATAGTCTCAGAAGTGATAGTTTTATTGAAAAAAATGATCTTAAACCATTCCTCAGTGTGTGTGTGTGTGTGTGTGTGTGTGTGTGTGTAAAAATATATAAAAGAATTTGGAAGAGGTTAAATGAAAAGCAAATTTCACTGTGTCTTGTACTTTCATCAAACATTATTTACCTCCTTTAGACATTTCACACACTCCAGTCAGTCTCCTCTGAGAAAATAGATTTTAGGTACTGAAATTAATGGCCTAAGGCAAAAGAAAAAGCACCACTAATAGCTTCCATAGTTACCTCCAAAATCATGCTTTTGAAGTTGCAAAGACACCTGTAGAAGCCATCAGGGGGGCAGAAAACAATGTGTAAGTGCTGAGAGAAAGGAACTCTGTGCTCTTTGTCACCTGTGTGTCTTGCCATGTCATCCGTTGGTAAATGGTGCTGCTTGCACTGACCACAAGGCAACCCCAACCAACCTCAGGTGGGGGCCTAGACATGTTGGAAAACTGACTAATTCTTGACCAAACAATCATTTGCCAAACCCTGATTTATTTCAGAGAAATTATGCCATAAAATTCTAGAAATATTTAATTAAAAGTAAGTTGATTTAATTTTGGGTCATCTTATGAATGCTGTTATACTCAAGGAACATATTTCTCTAGGTGGATTACATATGTACATGTCAAGGTTTGGTCAAAGCCATTTTAAGGTCTCTCTGACATAAATAAAGTTTCATAAAAGGGGCAAGCAGAAAGGCTCAAAGAGTTCAACTCAGAACAGAAACTCAAACAGATACCAAGGAAGGACTGTCACTTGAGGAAGTTTATTTCCTGGAGACAGATGTGTGCTACAGAGCCATTGGTCATTCTGAAAGTTGTTAATTGCTGTCTGTTGTCATTCTTGTGTTGAGAAACATTTGTAATGCATTTCCCTTGAGAAGTGGTTTCATCCAGAAAAAGCTCAAGTAAGTCATTCTAAAGACAAACATAGACACTACTGAATTAACTTAAGGGAATCAAAATTTTCTTCAAATCAGAAAATATGGCCTTTTATAACTTTTGATAGAACCTGATACACAAGCTAAAATCCTTGACGTGTTTCCTAAAGTGGACACCCTCTACTTCCTTTGAGGTATGTGTGCAGTGATCCTAAGAATCATTATCCTATCACTTATGAATTTAAATGGAAAAAAAAAAACATGGATTTTGTAAACTACAAGTCATAATGTTTCAGAGTAAAGCAATCCAAAGCCAGTACAGGGAAGAGACATGACTCACTGAAGCCCTATAATTCTGGGCAAGGCCCATATATTTTAAACTCTTTCTTGAGCACATCCTTTAAAAAAATCAATGAAATGATATAAATAACCAGGATATAATTTTAGAAGACAAGTTAGCTCTTGGAAGTATGAGTGGACTACATAGTTGCTTACCATTTTCCATCTAGTTGTTACCAAGCAGGAATTTCTACTTGCCTACACAACATATATTCTTTCTTTCTTTTGAACAGAATCAGATGAATCATGGAATTAAGCAGCAAAATCCAATTCCCCTGTGCAGGTTCTAGAGAATTGGTCTAGGGGAAGCCATGTGACCTGAGATGCCAGAGAAAGTCTGTCAAGAGGCTTCTAGGAAAGCTTTCCCTCTCAGGTAAGAAGAGAACATCCTGGGGAAAGCTTCTGACTATCCTGAATGCATTATTTTCTCCTACCTCCACTGCACATGTGTGCACACCGATACACACACATACACCCACTGCCTGCCTTGGGACACAGGTGAGTTAGGACATGACATACAGAGCTGTAGCCTCCACCTGGAGACCATGTAGTGACAAGAAGGTGGCAAAGAGTGTATTCTTCTTATGACACTTTTGAGCTAGGTATCCTGCCCTGGAGTCACTCAGCTTTTATCCTCGACATAAACAAACAATAAGTGTCCTTAGAGTTTAAGTCACTGTTAGTTGGGCTTTCTGCAAGTTGGACCCAAGGGCATGAGAACTAATTGATTCATCTATTAAGGGATGAATGAGAGGCAGCAGGGCAGAAGCTACTGTCTTGACTTTCTGAGAAGGTTCTACTTTTAAGAAGATATACCTTGAATTTTCTGACATTAAACACTTCCATAATTATATCAGATCAGTGATTGTACTTATTACAGCTGCCTACTATTTTCTTGATGGATTAGCAACCAACTGAATGTTATCTATCCATTTGTTTTATAAGCACAAACACTCCTGTGCCTATTTGGAGGTGTATTTACAACTCACTAGGATACAGAGATGCATGAAAAATGATCTTTGCTTCTATTAAGATATTGCATAAACAGAAGCAAAATCATAGCATGGGGTGATACAGGCCGTCATATGGTACTGACCACATCTGCCTGAATCATATTAGAGTCTGAGGTTATTCGTACCCACAGACCAGAAAGTTCTCTCACAGTTACAGAAAGCATGGAAGTTGCATTAACATGTACATAGGAATGATGATCTTTCATATGATGTCAGCTGGCTAAAAAAAATAAAAAGCTAATCACCAGTTTTTAAAAGACTCTGTGCATTTACAATGACAATGCATGACAAAAATACCTTTGTCTCATAGGTAACTTTTCCAATTTCCATCTCTGGCAAAGCCATCAAATAAGCAATTTATCTTCAGTTCTTGCCTGGCCTGTTGGTAACATTTGCTTTCAAATACTCAATGAACTTCTGCCCTCTTTAATCCCTCACTATCTCTACAAAGCAGAGAAGACTCTGACTTTTGATCACTAATACCCATTAATGACACTGTAGCTGACATTCACTAGCACTAAATAACTAACCCTAGAAGGCAGTCATATTCTAAGTGTCTTTATTACTAATTGAAATTTGAAATCTTTTTTCCTTTGTTAGAAAGTCTAGGAATCAGAAAGCAGGCAGAGATGTTAGGATGGGGCCTGGGGTTTATGAGGCCTTCCTTCTGGCCCTGAAAAACCAATGCTGGGTGACTTGTGACATTACAAGTGATCAACAGTGGCTGGTCCCTGGTGTGTCCTGTACAAGCCCTGTCTTCTGGTGTAGATAGCTTTCTGTCCTTTCTCATGGGCTTCTTCAAGTCAGCCAGCAACCTCCCCCTCTCTCTGGCCGGAGCCCTTTGCCCACAGTCCCTACCCAACCCCCTTATCTTTCCTTCCTACTTCTTTCTGCCTACAAACTTCCAAAGACTTATATATATGCTGATTTCTGGCACAAATGTGTTTGGTAAATCTTTTTAAAAATTTGAAACTATAACTCAAAACATCCACTGTCCTCTATCCCAGTGCTCTGGAATGTTCTATGTATCCTGATCTGAGTTTACAGAGTCTTAGAGTACCTTCTCACTGAGAAGATGTTCTTCACTAGGAGCCATTAATATGTAACAAAAACACCCAGTCCAAGTTAAAATGACAGGTTCCACAGGGTTGGCCTAAAAGAAGGGCAAAATACCAATATAATAATATTTGACTATGTTTTTTATTCTCTGAGAAGTGTAGCTAGTACAGTGGCTTTTACTTGTAGCCTTGTATATAACTGGTTCTTAATAAGTATGTGCTAAATGCATCCATGGGAGGATGTTTGGTGACAAAATATTAATAGTTTAATTTGAATATAACTTTCACCATAATAAGCTGTCACCTGGGTACCTGGTGAGACTCTTTCCTGTCTTGCCTGCCAGTCCATGATTGGTACCTGGCAGGCCACAGGTTAGCAGAGAGCCATCTTCTAATAAAATCAGAATACATCAGCTCTCAATTGTTCTTTAAATTCTTGACTTCCATTCTTTTTTAAAAATTAATTAATTAATTTATTTTTATTGATTTAAAAAAATAAATGACAGCGGGATGCATTACAATTCTTATTACACATATAACCACATGTTTTCATCTCTCTGGTTGTATATAAAGTATGTTAACACCAATTCGTGTCTTCATACATGTACTTTGGATGATGATGTTTATCACATTCTTACCACTGCCTCAACCCAGTTTCTGGCCAGAACCCTCACTAGTCCCTGGATGGGCTTTCTACCATGGCCTGTGAGTCTACAGA